ATTATAAATTACACGAGTATAAATGAATAGATTAGAATGCAGTTCAGAATATAAGCTATTGAAAGCCTATTCAAATTAAACTAATAACTAATTTATACTTTTTTTGAGATAAAAATGATAAATCTTGAATGAATTAGACCCCATAATTTGAAAATAGCCAAATATCTAACTAAATTATTTATTTTTGAGTCATATAATGTGATGCAAATATGTATTGTTGAATTACGTTTTTTATAACAACACATTCCTATAATGATACAGTAAAACTTGAATAATTCAAACTTCTTTAATACGATGCGCTCCCACCGTTGACCATTGGCCCGATGCTTGATTTAGCGACATCTCTCCAACCGTACGAGCTTGTTCTCATTCGTGAGAAGCTGAACTTTGTGAGCTTGTACGCCTTGAGGTTGAGTTCTTTTTTTTTTTTTTTTTTCGCTATTCGATGTACCGACGACTTGTCTATGCCGGTCTCACGGGCGATTTTGCTCATGGACACCCGCGAATTTCGTTGAATTCGCTTTTTAATGATTTTGGTCCCTTGGGCTTCGAATTCTCCAAGTTCAACTGAACTAGAATATTAGCCTAATAATAGGTAAAGAACGACAGCCAGTTCTAATCCTTAGTAAAGTTAGTACTACAGCAATTGTCAGACAACATTATATCTTAGTCAGGCAGAGGTATCGCCCCAGGTTGGAATTAGACGTTTATTTCGGCGTCATTAGAACCATTGTAAAAGGTAACCAACCAGCCGTTTTCTTGTTCCAAAATCACTTTATTAGGTACCGCTCAAAAAGAGCAACCTAGTTTATGATAATTGTAACAATAAATAATATATGAAGGTTATTCACATATTAAAGAAAATGTTAACGCAGGATTCGATCACGGTTCATGACTGTCGGGAATCGAGGGTGTTACCCATTCGTCCACCGACCATCCATCTTGTCTATTTTTTCATGTTTGACTTCCTTATAAAATCAACCATTTTCTTCTTGACCATCTGTGTTCCAGTCAACTTGGGTTCTATATCACCCCCACCGCTTCTTTAACTATATTTTTTAGGCTGAACTATTCAAAGTTGTAATTACAGGTTACAATTACTTGTATCTTTATTTTTAGGTTATTTAGACACGGATGATAATGATGATGATGAAAGGGGAACATTGTTAATGTAATTGAAGAGTTATCATGATGGGGAGACTGAAATTGATGAATACTATATTTTCAGAACTGATTCTGAGAGAAAGTGATAATGAATTCACACACACAAAGCTTTATTGAGACCACCGGTCTTATACAGATTCACCACAGGAAGAAAGGAATCATAGATGGAGCTCCTATACTCCAGGCAGCGCAGCACCCAACAACAGCCTCCTGGTCCGACGCATGTCCAATGGCCACACGTTCCTTCGTGCATACGTCATGGTAAGCGAATCACTGAACAGGCTAGTGTGGAATCAGCCGTGTTCTAGTCTTCGCTTTCTTCGTCCAAATGTACCACGGCATTCGGCGATTCTATTAATCTCCTCCGAACGGTGAAGTAATAATGAATTAAGAATAAAAGAGGCCTAAAGCAATATTCATATGAGCATTTTTCTTTGGTAAAAAGCTACCTAAATGCATCAAAGTTCCAGCTCAATAAGAAAGACGCCTGCTTCAAACTTAGATATATTCATTTGCCTGGATTGAAAGAAAAATCAAAAGAATCAAAACCAAAGGACCTATAGGAATCTTGGTAAGGTTCGTTATATAATAAGGTATGATTGATAAATCAGTTGAATTCACAAATTCAAAATGTTATCCCATCTCAAAAAAAAAAAACTGAAATAATCAAATATTATTACATCAGCAACTCTAGAGCGGACACTGTTGATTAGATGTGTGATCAAATTATTCAACCAGGAGAAAAACAAACAGTTGACCATTGACACTATGTTATTCTGGTTTATATATAGAAGTGATAAATGGCCTTGTGATTTTAAACAGTTAATTCATCTGGACAAGGAAAAGTAGTTCAGAGAATTTTTATTTATTTATGCTTATGAGGTGATACAGCAGTTCAGAGAAGAGAATTCCTGATGTCATACTTGGCAGATACTTAATAAGACGGAAATAGTATTTGATTATTTACGTTTTTTTTTCTGGAGATGGGATGAAACTTCGATCAAAGAATGATCAAAGACACCAAAATCAACGTAACTGCTTCACGATATAAAAACATGTTTATAAAGAACATTCATTTTTTACACAATGTGTGAAATATCATAACATATTTAAAGAATTATAAAATTATTTTATTATTTTATAATAAATGCTTAATAATCCTGAAATAATATTGCATAATAAGTGTTTTAAATATAAAATATATTAATATTTAATGGATTTTTTTTTGCTTCATCATTTTTACTAAATATAGCCTCATCGTCTTTAGTGGAAGATTTTTTTGAGCCGTCTTGCTAAGGGTTTAGAAAGATGAATTTGCTAGGAAGACCATATTATGTTCTATTTATAAAATATATAAATTGTTTCTGAATCATTTTTAAAAGGAAAAGTTGCAGATAAAAACTGGGAAACCTGGGATATTGACATGACAACCGTCCCCTTTTCTCTCCATTCCAAACGAGAAACCTTCTGAGGACTCCAGTGGCCTAATTTGGATCTTTTTACCAAATTGTTCGCCACCGCCCAAGTCTTGATTCCTTTTCATCCCTGAGCACCTTTTCAACACCACTTTTCTTACGTTTCCTATGGAAAGTACGGTACATAGGAGGATGCTCAGCCCATCACCAATCCACCAACACTCCAGCGCAGGAGATCACGCACAGAACACTTCCACAAACAGATACACAGTCGTAGCCACATCACACAGGTTCGTATCCTGCTACATTTTTGAATAATTTGATCAAAATCATTTTTAAAAAGATTGACCTTTCGCTATTAGGAAGAAACAACATTTCTTATTCTCACTGTGCAGCAGGCTTAGTAACCTGTTATACTTGGACCAATGCATTATTCGAGCAGAATGGGAAAACGGGATTATCCAACGTGTCCTTTTTGTGACTCTAATAGTTAGGAACCATCCGAAAACAATTATTTTGATTGATAGGTACTGGATGAATACAGAAAAATCCTTGCCAGAATGACGAAAAGTGGAAAAAAAAAAGAAAAACAAACCCACCTTGAATATCAAACAAGCCAGAAAAAACCTTCTCAAGAACAATATACCCAAGGACCTGAGAATCCGGACCCAATGACATCAATATAAATTATAATCGTAAATGAACAAACCCTGTACATCCCCCACAGTATATTGTAAATATGATTATCTAGGTTGTTCTTTTTGAGCAGCACCTAATAAAGTTATTTGGAACTGGAAACATCCTTACCTCGATCATCATTCAATATATTGTCACGGATGTAAAATAAGTATTAGGAATCACGCGAACGGTAGTTTTCTATTGAATGTTTATTCTACCTACACATGCCAAAACAAGCTTCTTTTATATCGACAATTTTGGTTACTGTTTACATAATAGTTATTATAGGATAATTTACATGATGAATTGGAAAATATATATGCAAATATTATACTGTGACATTATGAAGGCACCTTCTCAGTCAATTTAACATACTTTATGATGCATTAGCACGCCATCTGTTATCAAAATTCGAAACTATTATAGACGTGTATGTGATTCTTTTTTAAAAATAAACAATTTCTACTGTCCTTATTATTATTTTTGCTTATCCCTAGTACACATGGTACAGGCCATGATAATCATGGTGGGTAGTTAGCGACTACTTTTTACTGTAAGCGCACTACATGTCTACACATGTGAAAAGCAGTTCGACTTTGCACTTACAAATGTGCCAGAGCCCCGTTTGGTTACTTGCACTCGCTGGTGGGGTTGGAATTTTGCAAGAATCGGGGGCCATTAGCGCATTTTTTTTTTTTTTTTTACTGCCCTTATGCAATATAACAGCGGTATGGTAGATTAAACTGGCGAAACCGCTGGGAGGATTCACCACTGATGAGCCAGGCCCTCCCATTAATTTTTCCATTGCAGTAAGGATAGAAGAAAATTTTTAATTTTTAAAAAGAATCATACGCGTCTATAATAGTTTCGAATTTTGATAACATACATTGAGTCAAAAGGCGATCCATCAAATACTCTTGTTTTCAATTCTAGGACATTCAGAGCAACTCTCGACGTTTCTTGGCGTCGTTAAACAGGCTCAATCCTAGCCTCAGAATAAAAAATACCGTATCTTTAATTTGATCAAACCTAGCTATTACTAATCTTGTCCCAGTTAATAGGATTTTATCCATCACATTCAAATACTACAAGGTTATCCCAAAAGTTCGTGAACATTTTTAAAAAATTGAAATACCAATATTATTCGTCATATGTTGTTGTTATTGTCGTGTCCAATGAAGAGCCTCAGATGTCCCCATGCATCTCTATCACAGCAATGTCCTCTATCTTTAAGAATGCTTTGAAGCAACAAGGTATTAGAGCTATTTTTTTTTTCAAGTAAACATTGTATTATATAATATGATAAAGATGTTTTAAAATCATTTTATATTATTGAATATATATTTAATAAAACTTTGCCTAGGATTTGTCTTGATTTTTAAATTAGACATAGAGGTACATGTATGTTAATGATAAGAAGAACCTATCATCAAATAATTTATTTTATTATTCAGTACTAGCGGACGTACCCGGCTTCGCCCGGGTTTTACCCGAGTAAAGGTTTGTCTAACGAACATTTGTTAAAACAATTCTCTATCTTCTACTTATATAATTGCCTTATTCTGTCTGTGTGAAGTTCACGGATAGATTTTGGTCATCAACGCGCGCATCATCATTATGATCATTATCATTATCTAATGATAATTATTATTTTATAATATAATTGCCTCATTCTGTCTGTGTGAAGTTCACTGTGTGAAGTTCACGGATAGATTTTGGTCAGAATGGATAAAATAAAAAAAGTGTTAAGGGATGGGAATGAACCCACGACCTTCCGCTTACCGGGCAGATGCCATGACCACTAGGCTACCCTGGACATATTTTTCCGTTCATAAATTATATATAAATTAAATATTAAAACTATATATTCAAATTATTCTACTTAGCTCACAAACAGCGCCCTCTATCAAGGTTATAAATACGTTTAAAATCGAAATCTTTTCAAAATTTTATTAATAATAGTTCGCTTACTAATTAGAATACTTGATCTAAATCGAAATATTTATAGACGCTCGCTCGATTTGAAGATTTATATCGTAACTAATCTGACTGTAAAGTTTGGAGCGGGACGTTTCACAAGAGTGACATCCACGGCGCCAATTTATAATTGTAACGAATAGTGTTTGAATAAAACATTTAATCGGGTAAACCCGGGCGTTGCCCGGGTCATTCGTCTAGTAAACTTAAAAAAAAAAAAGATATATTTTGATAATTTGAAACTCGTAAATTTGAATCTCTCGATAAAGTGAACATTTTTCCCGGTCCCTTGTCTCATCTTGTCTCAAATAAATTGCCGTGTCATCCTGAATTTTGTCTTTCCTAATTTTCTACATTACAAAATCATCGTTTTATCTAGTGAACATTTTTTCCCGGTCCCTTGAAAAATACTCGATAACTAACTTTGACTTGTGCGCAATTAATAGGTAGAAAATCTTACTTTTGATAAATAATCTTTAAGATAATAAACTTAGTGATAATAAAACTTATAGATAAAAAAACTTGTTAACATCGTCGCAATGGGGGCGCTGCTTGCGAGTTAAATATACAAATCTGCAAATAACTCTAAGGATATTCAAGAAATTATTTTTCAGAAACCTTCCCAGTACTATACTAAATAACTTCCCAAAGTTTCATGGCGTTCCAATAAGTGGTTTGGTCAGGCATAAAGGACACACACACATACACACATACATTCATTTTTATATATATAGATTAATGTAAGGAAATTGTCAATTAAGGGAAGTGACCACTATTAAGAGGCAGCCTTTTCCTGTGTGTATGGCTGTTGTTGTTGTTGTCGTGTCCAATGAAGAGCCTCAGATGTCCCTATGCATCTCTATCACAGCAATGTCCTCTATCTTGGGTTTGTGAAGCTGCTGTTCTGGGTCCATGTCAATTTTTTGTAAGGCTGCGACCAATGCTGGGAATGAGAATATGTGGGTAGATGTTAGTTCCACACCAGGACAGTTGTTACATGTCCTATAGATTCTTGTGCCATCTGGATGTATTGTCATTTATTTATAGTGTTTTGTTCTGAGTCTTGTTATAGTTTTTGTCAGTTTTATCTCAGAGTTTATTTCACATATTTGATCTGTGAAATTCGTCATATCACCGTTATGTATAATGTCTTTGTTTTATGTATAAAGTAATTGTTAAAATTTTACACAAATAAATTTACTGGCAATGCGCTTCTTTTAAATATCATCAAATATTATCTCCACAGACTGATGATATTTAAAAGAAGCGTATTGCCAGTAAATTTATTTGTGTAAATTTCAACGATATATGTCAATTAAATCTAATTTACTAATAAAGTAATTGTCCTCTGTAAGACCTGTGTGTCTTAATAAAGGCTTTTGTGTGTGTGTGTGTGTGTGTGTGTGTGTAATAAAGTAATTGTATTATGTATTATTATGTATTCGCCGTAATAATATAATTCACCAAGTAATAAGAAAAACACGAACTTTTGGGACAACCTTGTATTTATACAAATATTACACCATATATACAACAATGTACCATATACAACAATGTACCATATACAACAATGTACCATATGAAACAATTAACCATATACAACAATGCACCATAAACCACAGTGAACAGTTAGATGTGGGGTATAGAGTTGGCATAGAGGGAATGGTACACGCAAGAGAAATAAATTATTGTTGTTGATATAAGAGAAAGAGATATAAAAACTGCTTTGTAATAAGCGGATAGCTATTAAAAGATATTTACTTGAACATCTAGAAATATATTATAGCGAAAAAATCAATAGAACATAACCTAAAAAAGACTATTGTAAAGATAGAGGCTGTCTGGTCGGCATTCATAGTTCTTGAAAATAAAGATACTTCGGCCAGTAAATATATATATATTCATATAGAAGTATAGGGCGGCAAATTTTCCATCTATATTTTTATATTTTTTTAATTAATTTTTTTTATTATTATTTTAAAATATTTACTGGCCGAAGTATCTTTATTTTCTAAAAAAAGCTATAACCATCTCATTGTTTGTGCAAGTGTCCCTAGGGGGACATAGCGCTCTAAGTCGTAATAAAGAAATCTCATTGTTTAAAAAGGATTACATAGAAATAATGGCTATATCCAAGGTTATATATCTATGAGATGAAGACATATAGAAAGAAAAAAAGTATTTATCATCAATTTGTTAATGTGATACTCATGTTGAAGGACTGAAGAATACGAAAGTTTGATAATAAAATGTTTGAACAAGAAACTCAGCCCTGGAAGCTTTATTTATTTTATTATAAAATAGAGAGAGTTAGTCATTTATTAATATATTAACATTTTAACCTGATTTTTTGGAAAAAAAAAACGGTGCATCCGTGATAGTTGGCGACTTCTGTAACTGGCTCCAGAAGTCCGGGTTATGTACAGCCAATAGAAAACATCCATACATATATCATATTTATATAAACAGACACAAGAATATTTATATATACACTTCGTTCTCTTTTTATGCGGTTTTGGAGTTATGCGGTGCAAGAAAAAAAAAATTATTCGAATTTCGAAATTTTTTTTTTGGTGATTCACTTTTTCTGAAAACGAATAAGAATAACAACTACAACTCTACTATTACGCAATCAATACAAAGAAAGAATTTTGTAACGTCCTGGTTGTATGTTAAGTTATCCAACAAACAGTAGAGGGGAGGTTCCAATGTCTTTTATTCCGCGCCTGCCGGCGTCTTACACAACTAGTGCAAAACCGAAATCAAAACTGAAAACCCGCCGGCGTGCCAGCTGCCGTTACAAATTTCTTTTTTCTTTTATTGACATGTTTTCTCTTGATTTGTTCTTAAAAACAAAAGAGACAAAAACAAAAATACCTCGTTAAAATTGCGTGTTTTTAAGCTGCATTTTGTTTTTGTATGAAACTAATTAAAAAAAGCCTGCATATTGGAAAGCATTAGAAAATAAAACTTTGTGAAAGAAGGTTACTACCGAAAACCGGAAGATAAATTTACTCAAGTGAATTGTAAGTTTTTTTGAATAATTTTAGTGCGTAATTGTACATTAAGTTTTTTCTATAATTTTTAGTCCTCTTAAAGAAAATGTGTGACAATAATAAAAAACAAAAAAGAAGTGCAATTTCGCTAGAAACCAAAATTATAATTCTCGATTGCTTGGCGAAAGGAGAAAGATCAACAGCAATAGGTAAACGTTATAATTTAGGCGAATCTACTATAAGAGCAATAAAAAAAATGAAGCGGCAATAAGATCAGTCAGATCTGGTACAAATTTGAGTTCTAAAATTTCATCATATTCAAGAGGCACTTTAATAGAAAAAAAAACAGAAAAGGCTCTCGTAATTTGGATTGAAGATTTAACTCAAAAAAGAATTCCGTTAGATGGACATTTAATCAAGATGAAAGCCCTTAAATTTTACAAGGAGTTAAAAGAATCAGAGCCATCTACATCTTCACTTGAAAGTAATCCACAATTCTCTGCCAGCACAAGGTGGTTAACTGGTTTTATAAAAAGACATTCTTTTCATAATCTAAAAATAAAAGGTGAGGTGGCTTCTGCAGATGAAGAAGCTGCTAGAAAATATCCTGAAAAGTTGGCTAAAATTATTAAAGATGGAGGATATTGTGCCCATCAAATCTTCAATGCTGATGAAACAGGATTGTTTTGGAAAAAAATGCCAACCCGTACTTACATTGCAAAGTCCGAAAAAAATGCCAGTGGTTTTAAAGCTGCTAAAGATCGAGTTACTTTATTGCTGTGCAGCAATGCATCTGGCGATCGAATGTTAAAACCGCTGCTTGTAAATCGATCTTTAAAACCACGTGCATTAAAAGGAAAAGACTTAAATACACTGCCCGTACATTGGATGGCAAACAAGAAGGCCTGGGTAACAACGGCTATTTTCACTGAATGGTTCAATAAATGCTTCGTACCCGAAGTAGAAAATTATATGAAAGAGATGGGTCTCGAATTTAAGATCTTATTAATTCTTGACAATGCACCAGGTCATCCAAACTTAGAACATCCAAATATAAAGGTAGTTTTTTTCCCTCCAAACACAACGAGCCTAATTCAACCATTAGATCAGGGAATTATTTCAACATTTAAAAAATATTATGTAAAATTCACTTTCCAATTCATTTTCGATAAACTGGAATCCGATACAATAACAGTTACTGAAGTTTGGAAACAATTTAATATCTTGAACTGTGTAGATCATGTTGCGTTAGCAATTGCCGAGATAAAATCACAAACTTTAAATGCATGTTGGAAAGCTGCTTGGCCTGAATGCGTATCAAAGAGAAATGAATCAAATAGAACAACAATAGTAACATCAGATATTATTTCAATTGCTAAGGAAATAGGTGGGGAAGGTTTTGATGATTTTGGCGAGCATGATATAGAAGAATTGCTTGTGGACGAAGCCCTAAATGATGATGATATTTTGGAAAGTATGGTAGATACTACTAAAGAATTCGAAACAGTAGATAGCGAACTGGAAGATGTTACTCCACTGGACGAAAAATTACTTCGGGAAGGCCTTCAACTTTCCGGTAAATTTGAAATTTTTTTTATTCAAAATGATAATGATGTAGAACGCGCCTTAAAATTCCAACGTGATCTGAAATTTTGTATGTCTGGCTACAGAGAACTCTACAAAGAACTAGTCAAGCCATCACAGCGTTTGATTACTGACTACCTTGTCAAAGAAAAAAATCACTGAAGTTCCTAAAGAAGCATTACCATGTAGATCTGATGACGTAATTTTATCTTCAAGTGATGAAAGTGATCTTGCACCAATCCACAAACGGGTTCGCACAT